GTCTTGAACAGACTGTTAAAGACCTTGATGGGCACTGTAAACGCCCAATGTAGACCACAGACAGCTTCAGACTCAGACAACTTACAGTAATGTAATACCACATTCCATAACACTCGCTTCAAGAAAGTGATTCAGCCTTGAACATTTCAATAAGAATCGAAAAACATCTTGTATTAGGCCCGATGACACGTCCAGACTGCTTCGCACCTGGTTGCAGCCAATTTGCGGAGACTGGGGCTCTCTCGCGAAGGCTTCTCAAGTCGTTTCCATGAGCGGGACCACACCCATTGACCCTCATCTTCAGCTTCACCCTCATGAGTCAGAACTGGTACCACCTCAAGGTCTTCCCGACAACTAGCTGGAATTATTATATCCATGACCTGAGTCCCCATCCCTACAGATCAGCACAAGCCACACATCAGTTCCCAGGGAATTGCCCACCGACCCGAAAATGCAAGCCCTGGTTCCAACTATCAGCTCCAATCTCCAATCATGAAGCACCAAGTCTGCATTGAACCCCATGCTTGCACACAAGTGTGGGACCCACCCCCACCTGGATTAGGGTTCATCGGGTCGCAGAATGATCCTATCCAGGTCAGTGGTGGTGCAATGCAAGGGTAGTGAGAAAGAATGCAACTCACCCAAAAGAGTCAACACAGCCGCCACAACAAAACAAGCAGCTTATTTTATTCATGTATGAATAAATCCACTAGGGCAACCAGTGTTCTACTACAGGTAAAATCATATACATGTAACCACGGGATGTAAGGGCCCTATAGTATCTGGGAAGGGAAACCAACCCTTACAGGCAGCGAAGAGGGTCAGTCAGATTCCGCAGATGAACAAGAGCCTTCCTCCGGATAAGATCCGCGGAGGTCTTTCTTCTTATTGAGAGAACACGACCTCTTGGGTTTTGGTTGATTGGAGTACTATGGGGGGGAAGAGACCCACACCTGGATTACAAGCCAAAGGAGCCTTTAGTGACACGATGGCTTCTCTTCAAGCCGGCGAACATGGAGATGGAACGGCTATGGCTGTACTGCAGGATTATTGGTTGCTGATGGGTACTGAAACACCAATGCAGGACGCGGTGGTGTATTTTGGTGTAGGGTAGACCCTCTTAACGTATAAACACCAGAGTTGGGATTGGCGTAGCTGGTCAGAAGGACATTTCAGAGAGGGAGTGAGTTGTTATCTGCCTCAAGAAGCCGGCCAGCACAGGGAAGTGTCATGTAACTGTGGATGCCCTTGGTCAAGCACATGGTGATGGGATGCTTTGTGTTGAACTCTGGGTCCATTTTCCTACTCGATGTGATATTGGCCAATGTGAATGCATTTGTAGATTGCTTCACTCACCTGCTAGTTGGACATCAGGTGTCGTTAATAAAGCTTACTTCTTTGGTTGATGCTCTCATGTCTCATTCTGATATTGGTTGACGCTGAGTAGTCAACGTCAACCAATATCGGAATGCTTGTCTTTTCTTTCCGGTCGCTCAGGGTTAGGGTAGGGATTGTCCCTTTTATGTTTGGACCCCCACCTGTCTGACATCGCACCTGACAGGGTGGAGGGATGGTGTATGAGTAAGATGGTGCTGCTGAGGGCATCACTGCATGGACAGGTGAAGTTCTGTTACTAGCCTGTTAGTAATTGGCAACCACTACCTAAGGGGGGGAGGGGGGAAGTGTCACCATTACCTCAGCACCTGTTTTGTGATGCCTTGAGATACTGTGGAAGAAGGATAACTTAGGGATGAGCTATTCAGTTTTGAGTGGATCTTGGTTGTGCTTTTCTGCAAACCCTGACAGTCAGTCAGTCGCTTGGCCTGCAATCTTCTACCCCTTTGACTCCCTGGTACTAATTGTACCGGATTTCTGTTTCTGATCCATCTAACTACTCTTGGTTGTGTTTTTCTGCAAACCTATACACATGAAGTCTGTCGCTTGGCCTGCAATCTTCGACTCCCTCGACTCCCCGATACTAGTTGTCCTAGCTTTCTGTTTCCAATCTTATCTAACGACTCTGGATCTTAGCTAGCTTAAGTAAGAGTGGATTCGCACATGGCCTAACAACACTCGAACTTCATTCAGATCAGACCTCAACTGTTTGATTGTGACTCTCTCATCCAAATGAACTGCTGCTCCAACTAGGAGTTCTATTCTAGTTTTCTTCTGCACTGTTTTGTTGTGGTTCTTCTTTTGAGTTTGATTAGATGGGTGCTGCTGATATATACGCTTCGTAAAGGGAGAGAGAGCATGGATTCTTGAGGGTCATAACTCTGAAAGTCCTAGCTTAACAGTAGGACCAATATGTCGGAACCTTCAGACCAGCTGCGTGCATGAAAGGAACATGCCTCGACTGCACAAAAGGAGGTGTATGACAAGCTGCTAAAGCTGCAAGAGGAAGAGGAGAAAACAATGAATTAAAATGCACGACAGAGACCCTTGCGCAGCATGAGACTGTCCTACAGACGGTCTCATCCCTGACTGATGATGAAGTAAAAGAGCCAAGTAGCTGCTTATGTCAGGTCCCTGGCTGATAATTATTTCCTTGATGAAACTGCTGACAGCTTGGCCAAGGTTTTCAAAGCCATAGACGATCTGCAGAATAACAATCTAGATCTGAGGAAAGAACTTCAAGATCTGCGATAGGAGATTGCGGATCTATGCCAAGCTCAACCTACTAATCCCCTTCCTTTGCCTGCTGGCACTTACTCTGCCTCTACCTCTACCCAAAGGTCCCCTCTCCATACCTCTCCTCGATAACCTTGATAGCCTGTCAGGGCAGAACTGCAGCAAGTGCAGGTTCCGGGCCCAACGCAACCACTGCAAAGCTCTGAAACTTCTGCAATTGTTGCAGATTCAAGCACTGCAAGTGCAGGTTCCTCCACATGACAACAAGAAGACCACAGATCTGCCTCTTCGGTATGATGGCAAGACTAATGTGGTCGCTTGGATTGGGAAGATGAGGACATACCTCAGACTGTCCTATGGTGCAGCAGAGAGCCATGCTACACTTATGGCGACACGTGTAGAACCCCCAAGTCTCTAGTTACCTAGAGCCAAAGGCAGCAGAGGAGGGCTGCTCGAACATTGACTTTGATAAGTGGCTGCAGGTCAAGCCTGTCTCTACGATAGAAAACCTGCAGCATTTAGACTGGCAAGCCACTTTGGAAGCTACAAAAAGTGTTCAAGATGCAGGCTACAGCTTGGATAGGAATTACGCGCAAACAGTTTGCTGAGGCTTTTCGGCTCTCTGTGACGCCCGACATCAGTCTGGGTTACTGTCCCTGCTCACTATGTTCACAGGCTCGGGACCCAAAAGTTCACAGAATTGAAAGTCTTTTTGAGGGAAGTCGTTGAGCCAGAGGCAATTGACTTTACGCTGCAATCGATTGAAGGCTTTCCTAAGAACGCCTATGTGCTCAAACGGCCTGGAGGCAGCCACCATTTTGCTGCACACAGTTCGGTTGGGTCCGGTGAGCAGTCAAGGGAGGACTTTTCTACTCTAGATGACAAACTAGAGTTGGACTCCAACGCAGTTGTTCTTCATCGGCCTTCAGTTCTGAGGAAGTTGAAGAAGAAAAACTTGATGCCTCAAAAATAATCTGCCATAACTAAAAAAGGGCCAGCCCAAAACTTATGTAAAAAGAGTCAAACACCTCTCTCCCTCAAGGGCCTCATATCCTTGCACATCTATGGGACGAGTCCACGAAACCATGGAAAGACCTTTGGATCATCAAACGTACAGCCGGTAAGAATGAACCATAATGCTTGCCTGCATTGTAACAAGAAAAATCATTTGTCAAAGCATGCTTTTGTCTGAAGGAAAACCAGTGAAGGACTTAGAGAGGATGTCAGCACTCTCTAACAGATGGGAAGGTAAGCATCAGCTGACTGTTCTACAAAGGGGCCGGAATCTGACCTGCAACCTGACCCTCAAGCCCCCTTCATCCTTCATCCTTCTCCTGCTACTCCAGCCCCTCGGGAGTAGTCTTCTGAGGTGGACTTCCACTACCACAAGGAGCATTGGGCCATGGAGGCATAGAATTGATCTACTTCAAACTCGTCATAAGCCGCACGTTCATCCACACTTTGGTTGATTGTGGTGCAACTGTAACGTTTCTTTTCACACAGGATCCGTAAGGCACGCCTTGGAAGAAAGCAATGAAACTGCAAAACCCCCGTCTGGCTGAGATTGGCAACCAAGCGGTTGTCATATCTACCCATGAAGTCGAAGGTGTGCACACTACCTTTGGTGCTGATTGCATAGTCACACATGCGCTTAACTACTACACTATGGACGAGTGCACATTTGAAACCGTTATTGGGCAGGTTGCATCAAGGCCCAATGCTACCAAACAATGTTTAAGGAGCCACACTTCACAGTCCTTTCTGCAAAGTGACAAGCGCAATCACTTCTCTTGGATGAAACGAGCGAGTCCCCTGTGGGCTTTTTTTAACATGATGCAATTATACAAAGAGTGGTGCAAGCAGAGTAGGGATGAACAGCTGTATGTAGCTTTTGTGAAGCCCACTCACGTTCCTTCTACTTTTGGTTCTTTGCATGATGCTACTTGTACTTCTGATAATACCTTAACCTCTAATGCTACTTCAAATTTTGATTTTTCTTCACCCGATTCTACACCTAATTCCCTTTGCCTTGCATCTGATATTCCAGCAATCTTCACAACCTGTTGGGTCAATATCCGTATATCCCACGCTGAGCCCTTCTTCCTTCCTTCCAGTTTCTACTTCCCCATCTTGTCTGGATCCCCCTCCGCGATCTGCATGCCTCGGCGTTCTTTCTCCTGCACTTCATTGGTTCCTACATCCTCACCATGATTGGCTGACACCACTTCGATAAGGATGTAATCAAGGACTGATGACCTCGCTCAACAGTAGAGTTAGATTGAGGGTGGTAGGCCGTGGCTATCGATACTCTGGCTCCTGCCCTCTTGAACACATTCTGAACTTCGTCTGCCAGGAATTCTGCCTCTCTATCCATTACAATCCTACCGACACAGCCATATCGGGACAGATACTCCAGGACAAAGTTCTTCACTTCCTTGGCCGATTTCGTCCTGATGGGTTTGCCGTCTACGAAACCGGTGAAATCATCCCGTATGTTAACCACGTAATTTAGGTTCCCTACATTCCGACCATCTCCTCCTCTCGATCCCGCATTCTGACCCAACCCCTGACAATCCATGCTGCTCATCCATTCCTTCACAAATTGAGTTGCTGACCTACATCCTACTTCCAATTACTTTAGAATCCTCCTCAACGTCTTCCCCATCCACAACCTCCTTCATGCCGGCAATCTTACCATGCATGCTTCACTCCATCGCGGTGACTCTCCTTCTCCTGTGTCTCCTGGGGGATCCCCGTCCTGACCGACCAAATTCTGAACCTCGCATCCTCCTGATCCTGCATCTTGA